TCATCGAAATATTACATAGCACTAATGCAATTCAGAACCCGGTTTGCAATTTCTGATTCCCAACATAATTATGGAAATTGCACAGCAATTAACAACACAGCAAATGAATTAATCTGATTGCAACGGACGAATTATCTCGCGCAAGTAAACGTTGCAATAGGGGCGTTTTGCATATGTTAATTTTCAGTACCAAGGGGTTGTGCAAAGAGGCGGAAAAGGGGTGGGGGAAGATCCGGAAGTTCCCGAGATAGTCCAATCCTATCACGTGACATCAACTTGTTTTCTTTCGTGGTTTATTTTGTGTGTTTTTTTAAACCCTAACCATAAGTCCAAACATTAAACCCTAATTATAACCCTAACCCTAAACCTAACCATAAACCTAACCCTAAACCCTACCCCTAACCCCTAACCTGTGCTAAATATAGCTAATATGTTTGTTTGAGGTGAATTAAAATTGAAGTACCTAAGTAAACTCTTTTAATTATTTGAAACCGCTTACACACTAACCTTTATCACTGTTCCTGTTTGAGAGAATATAACACACCTCCAGTAATAGAAACACCACTTATCTCCCAGTAATCAAGTTGTAGTTAGGATAATGATGATGATAATTTTTAAAATAATCACAAAGTATATTATCAGTTCTGGATTTAAGAGTTGTTTGTGAAACAATTTGCAAAACACTATCACAAATGTATATGATTAGTTCTAGATTTGCGAGTTATTTAAATTCACAGAGGTAATCGACGTAATATTAAAATGTATTCCAATGTAACGAGATCGAACACTATTCCACTGCTCTATAAAATCTTCACACGAAAAATTGTATATAGACACATAATCTTCACGATTGTGTCTAGTGTGCAACTAGCTGACTTCACAAACTAACCGTCCTAAAACAAACGAAATCCTTGAAATATTTCAACTGGTATCTAATGCTGGCACTAATCCTTGCTATTAACTAAACTCCTGTTTCGCGCAAGATATATATATATACAACAGCAACGCACTCTCTGCCTCTCTTCTTCCGTTATCTTTGTATCACTCACTCACATTTCTCTTGTTATCTATTTTTCTTCTACTTTAGTGCAAGAAACATCGCGGTTTCAAGAGATGAATGTTGTATTGACTCCCGAAGCTCTCTCCAGACGGTAGCCAATCGCGCACAAGAACTGTGAATGCCATACATGAGTCTACCAATCCAATTCAGCGTTAATTTCCCAAAACATTCTGGAATCTGTGTCGCTGTTTTTTTCCCTTGAAGTTGTGTATTTGTTCAGCGTTTTAGAATTCACATAAACGGGATGGATCTGAATGGAGGTTAACGACCCGCAATTTATTACTCCCCACAAGGCCGCTCTTCTTTCTATCTTTCTATCTGTCTGTCTATCTATCTATCTATCTATCTATCTATCTATCTATCTATCTATCTATCTATCTATCTATCTATCTATCTATCTATGCCTGCCTATCTATCTATCTATCTATCTATCTATCTATCTATCTATCTATCTATCTATCTATCCATCTATCTATCTATCTATCTATCTATCTATCTATCTATCTATCTATCTATCTATCTATCTATCTATCTATCTATCTATCTATCTATCTATCTATCTATCTATCTATCTATCTATCTATCTATCTATCTATCTATCTATCTATCTATCTATCTATCTATCTATCTATCTATCTATCTATCTATCTATCTATCTATCTATCTATCTATCTATCTATCTATCTATCTATCTATCTATCTATCTATCTATCTATCTATCTATCTATCTATCTATCTATCTATCTATCTATCTATCTATCTATCTATCTACTATCTATCTTATCTTATCTTATCTTATCTTCTGTCCGTCCGTCCGTCTCTAATCCTAATCTAATCTAATCTAATCTAATCTAATCTAATCTTATCTTATCTTATCTTATCTTATCTTATCTTATCTTATCTTTCTATCTATCTATCTATCTATCTATCTATCTATCTATCTATCTATCTATCTATCTATCTATCTATCTATCTATCTATCTATCTATCTATCTATCTATCTATCTATCTATCTATCTGTCTATCTATCTATCTATCTATCTGTCCATCTATCCATCTATCCATCTGTCCATCTATCCATCTATCCATCTATCCATCTATCCATCTATCCATCTATCCATCTATCCATGTCCATCTATCCATCTATCCATCTATCCATCCATCTGTCTGTCTATCTATCTATCTATCTATCTATCTATCTATCTATCTATCTATCTATCTATCTATCTATCTATCTATCTATCTATCTATCTATCTATCTATCTATCTATATCTATCTATCTATCTATCTATCTATCTATCTATCTATCTATCTATCTATCTATCTATCTATCTATCTATCTATCTATCTATCTATCTATCTATCTATCTATCTATCTATCTATCTATCTATCTATCTATCTATCTATCTATCTATCTATCTATCTATCTATCTATCTA